GCGATTACCGTTGATTTAAAATGGATCTTGGCTTCTCTAAATCTATTTTGGATTTATAGCTTCAAAAACAGAAGACAGCAGAAAAGGCAAAAAGGATTTTGACTAACATGTTGTTGTAGTTTTCTTATATAAGAAGGAAGGATCAAGGACTCATGCTAAATTATTTAGGGTTATACATATTAGGGTCCTGATTCTCTTCTGGTTTTGTCTAATCTAAGTGAATTTGTTGATTATTGATTAATAAAGATTTTGTGGGCAATAGAATTGGCTATTTGATCCGGGGTTTTTAATTTTACCTGAAATCGGACCGTATAACCCGAATCGAGATCAGACCGGGACCGGATAATAAACAATCCAATCCAATTTTTGTGTTTAGAAATCTCATTGCTTGCAGAAATATTCAAGATTCTTGGCAGGCCGGCAACTTTCCAAGGTCCCAAGGAGTCATGTCTGGGCCTTCTGATGAACTGTTAGTCCAAACAAACTTTTGAATTCTAAAACGTCTTTCCTAAACTGGGCCTTGTGGGCTGAAAATCAAAGTGTCTAACCAAAATTACTGCTGAAGCCTAAAACTAATCAGAACAAGTCGACGGGAGAGATTAGGGTGCTAACTGCTCTAATCATTGTCCATTTGTTTAAGATGAATCCGACGGTGATAAGTAATGAAGGGTTTGTTTGGTATTTCACAAAATTAGAAATAGTTAACAAATTAAAATATATTTTCTCTCTGGTTTGTGTGTTTGTAATTTTTTTTTATCGAAAAAGATGATTTTGGGGGTTGATAGTAGTGTTTTTGAATTTAATTGTTATCCGTAGTAATTTAGGAATTTTTTAGTAGCGATTTAATTGTCATTAGTTGTGATTTAGGACTTTCCTTGTAGCAATTTATTTGTCATTAGTAGTGATTTAGGAATTTACTTGTATTGTTTTATATTTTCTGCGTAGCAATTTATATTGATTAAAATATGTAGTTTACTCAAGAACCACTGCTACACCATAAAACCTTAATCAGATCTGTAACATTACTACTAATTAACCAGAAAACGTTACTACAAATATGGAAAATCACTACTACATAAAACAATTCTCATTGTCACGATAGTTATTATTGTGAAATATGAAAATCCGCCAACGTAGAGAGATGCTAGGGGGAGAGGAGATCGAAGTGGCGGCGTGACGACAACGTTCTCACAGCTGGAAGAGACCCGCCAACATTGCAGAGATCCGTTAATTTTGATGGCTGGAAGAGATGCGACGGCGAGACGGCGATGTTGCTGAGACAGATCTGGTAATCGACATCGATGCGCGCATGACGGCGGCGCTACGACGATCTTGCTTGAGACAGCTAGGGATGGCAAAAATATCCGTAACCATGGATATCCGCCCGAACCCTGCCTAATCGGGTAGGGTAAAACCCGAACCCGAAGGACATTTAGTGGGTACGGGTAAAACCCGAACCCGGATATTGCGGGTAATGGGTGGGCATGGGTTTCTCACTATCCAACCCGAACCTGCCCGATTATACACATACATATGTATTTTGTCTAGAAATAATCATTATTTTTCTCTAACATATTTTATATTTAACATATAAATATAATATTTTCATGAAATTGTGTTGTTTTAATTAATTTTCTTCATTCTAGTGAATTGTTGTCATACTTTTCCTCTTACGTAATGTGAGAATACGTGTGAATGTTAACATACTGGTTAGAGTTGTGATGAGAAATCATTACCCATGGATAACCGTGGATACCCGAAACCCGAACGGGTATGGGCATGATTTTAATTTTCTACCCGTTTCACATGTGGGTATGGATAAAACCCGAACTACTTTGGGTAGGGTAACGGATATGCACTATCCGTCCTCGACCCGACCCATTGCCATCCCTAGAGACAGCTGAGGGATTAATTGAGGGCGGCGAGGGAGGATGTCATTGACGGCGGCGTTCCTGATAAGTAGTTCAAGATGGAAACCCAGCGACAGGACGAAGGCGAGTCCGACGCGGGCGATGGCGAGGCTGGCGGAGGCAATGGCGTCATGCTAGAGACAGAAGAGGCACGGGAAAAGACGGTTTCCTAGCGGAGAAGAAGATGGTTTCTGGCGGAGAGGGATGGAAAATGACGTGGGCAGTCGAGTGAGGGGTGGGAGGTGAAAATGTATATTTATATTAGAATTTAATAATATATTGACTAAACAGCCCTCTATTTAATTCTGACCCTTGGATTAGTTTTTTAATCTAACAATAATTATTTTATAGGTTAGTATGATGCTAAACCCCTTAATAAGTAAGCAACCAAACTCATCCACAAGTCAACTTGGTGAAACTTCCATTTAATACCGTTTTGTTACTATTGTAGTTACCGTAATAACAGAGATACAACTTTTTTTGGTTTTATCCAAAAACGCATTTGATTAGTAATAATTCTGATAAATTATGGAAGTTTTCAATTTCCTGTCTTTAGCTAATTCATTAGGCATTTTTAGTATTAATGTGAAGACTAGAACAAAGGTACGAAGAGGAGGAAGAGTATGGTGTGACGAGTTATGAGAAAATTGTGAGAAAAAATATAAAATAATATTAGCAGTAAGGTTTTGAAATCACAGACGATCTTCTGAACTTTACTGAAGGTTCTACTAGGGCTTTCTCAGGGGTCAAGTATGTTCTGAATGTTTTCTACCAACTTTGTATCCCTGATAAGTGTGAAGGTTTCTTTGGAGGCCTGACTCGCCAGTTTAAGCATGTGGCTTTGCAAGCTTCAGGATTCAGGGCGGTTCATCTCTCTATGAGATATATGGGTCTGCCATTAATATAAGGTAAGCTATCCAGCCATGAATGCTCTATCCTTATTGTCAAGCTGACTAGTCGAATTCGTAGCTGGAAAGCTAACACTCTTTCATATGGGGGAAGTTGCAACTTGTTGAATCTGTGCTTGATTCTCTCATTCATTACTAGATGGCCGTTTTTGTTATTCCCAAGAAAGTTACCAAGGCGATTCAGAAGGTTTGCTCAGACTTCCTCTAGCATGGAGATAAATCAAGAAGGGCAAAGGTGGCTTGGGAACATATTGCGTTGCCAAAGAAAGAGGGTGGTCTGGGTTTGAAGGACTTGGTCTCCTGGAATGTGGCTTGTACAACACGACTAATCTGGCTTCTTCTCATGCGTGGAGGAAACTTTTGGGTTGCCTGGGCCTACCGTTATTGACTAAGGGAGACATCTCGGTGGGAAGTGAAGCTTACTGCAGCTAGCTCATGGATTTGGCGACAAATGCTGAAGATCAAGCCTTGGTTGCGGTTCAGAATGGATGTTGATAGAGATTGTACTATTACTTGGCAAGGGGGCAAGCTTGCAAGTTTTTTAGTTCCAACTATTTGGAACACTTTACGGATTAGGAAGCCCATTGTTAGCTGGTGGAAGATCATCTGGGGCAAGTTTACTCTTCCCAGGTGTCGGTTTCTGACATGGATTAGTATAATGAACAGAATCTCCACGAGGGATAAGCTCAAGGCATGTGGAGTTATCACTGACGATCTCCATGTTCTTTGCTCACCTGTAAGTGAATCACGACAACACTTATTCTGTGAGTGTTCTCTTACCTTCGAATTCATCTCTGTAGTTCTTAAAACTATGGTATGACTGCTTGGATCCTGAGAAGGAAGGTTGACCTTTTATGAGCCATAGTGCTCAGAAAGGTGACAATAGATGGTTACTTGAAAGCTCCATCTGGTGCTGGTGCATCTCCTTCATATGGAAGGAGCGTTGCAGGAGGGTGTTTGGAGACTGTCCTAGGAAACCAGAAGTCTTGACATCTTTGCTGCGGGAGAAAGTATTTTTGTTTACTAGGGGCAATGTACTTTTTTACGATGCTTCAAAGGGTCCCTGAATTATACCGAATCATTGATTATGGGTAGTTTTGTTATTCTTGTTTTCTTCACATGTGGGAGATGAACATTAATAAGTGCTTGCCCCTGTATTTTATTTTACCCTTGCTCTTTGCAAAGAGGGTGCTTTAATGATAGCTACTAATTACCAAAAGAAAAGGTTTTGAAGATGAATTATGCGAAAATGGGAAGGGAAAATATGCACAAAGTGAGTTTAGTGAGATTTGATAATAGACTTCTTTGAATGAAATTATTAAAACGACTAATAGAATCTCACAAGAAACAATTTTTGAAATACAACAAGGAAGCTACTTAAAGTTATTTACTTGTTTTCATTTATTTATTTGTTGTGTTGAGAACTCATGTTGCCACAACAATAGATGAAAACATAAGCTCCCCACGCGTTGTTTAGTACAATTTTGTTGTTGTTGTGGTTGCAATATTGTTATGAAACCACAGGTACAACCATGACACAATGAAAATGAAAAACATAAACACGTTTGATAATTAAGGGATATCATGAAAGTTAGACAATTTTTTGTGTTTAGTTACTTCATTCGGCTCCGTTTAGTATCAAACTAAGACGGAAGTATAAAAATAATTAGAGAAATAGCAAAAATGTATATTAATCTCATTCAAGTCTTAAAATGTCGGTAGTATAGGTTTGTTTTTGTTTTGGTGATAGTTTGGTTGAGATAGATACAATACATGCATTGCCCACAATGTATCATTTTTCTGAATTTTCCGTTTGCTTGATTTGACACAAAGTATCACTCAAAATGAGTGATAGTTAAATCTCAAGTTTTGGGTGAGATTGTTGAGATTGTTTGTTAGAGATTGTTGTGTTTTGTTTTTGTTCAAACTATTACCCTACTTTTTTATGTGTGTTGCTTTTTCATATTAAATACAAAGGGTAAAAGTGACATTTCACTCAAAAAGTATAACTTATTTAAAACTATAATAACAATCACAAAAACCAAACGAGTAAATTACAATACACCATTTTTCGTATATACATATATATTATTATGCATGCATTAATAACAATATATCAATTTAACTATCACCAAAACCAAACGGCTATAAATTTAGGGGGAAAAACACCTTCGGCTTATTTGTATACCAATCGTAAACCAATGTCTCTATGAAAAGGCTCACATCACTTCTCCCATATGAAACGAAAGGGTGATATAGAAAACTAGAAACCAAACAAGAGCAGCAGAGTAGAGCTTCAACAGTCACATGGGAGCAAGCCGCTGAAGGCTTGGCCTTAGTGGCAGGGGGACAAAGAAAAAGGCATGCAGTAGCCGTAGTAGCTCTTGTCAAATTGGGGGGAAGGCACGACGAGTCAATCACAATATTGAATACCCTGCTCAGTTTTGTGGGTGGCTAATGGCTATACATGGATGGATCTACAACACTATCTCACTGACCACTGCTGACCAACTTCATTGCCCACCCACCCAGCAATTATACATACAGAGGAAATTTACCATGGGATTGAATGCATCGTCAAACGCAACAGAGGGGAATCCAATGTGGTTTTTGTGCTGCGAGTGATCTCATTTATAGCTCTTTCGTACATCAGCACAAACACATTCATTGATTGATTGCATACTGAAGCTGCTGTCCCCACGAAATCATTGATTGAATGAATGAAATCTTCGTCCCCTGCAGAATTTTCTTCATCCTGTCTCATTAAACTCGGAGTGAAAAACGTTAGATAGTTCATTGACAGGCCAATTTATTGAGCCGAGCTGTGGGTCGTGCCAGGTGATTGTTGATGGGTAAAAAGCAGGAAAACAGAGGAACGGGAAAGTGAATGCTGAATAGTGTAAACCATAAAGGGGAAAATAGAGAAAGAAACTTCATTACTTGGGTTGGAATTTGAAGCTAGCTGCTGGCTTGCCTTGAGCGATGGAGACACCACAAGCAGCAGACCAGCTGTGTCCCCGAGCTAAAGACCAAAAAGGTGCACCAAAGTTCCTGTCCTTCTGGGGTTCCTCCATTCTCGTTTCGAGGAAATTTTTTTGGATTGGGCTAAAATATATGGATCCATTCCCCAATCTTCTGTTTATTTTAATTAAACCGGTATGACGACATGAGCTTCCAAGTTTTCAACTAATTTGGCCTGTTGCTGAATCTGGGGGATAGATTTGTTGATTTGTGCAACAACTCTGGGAGAAAAAAATGTTTTGCTAGATCAATGACACAAATATATTTTTTTTTAAAAATTTACCAGGCAGATTAAAAAATATTGGCACAGTTATTGTGTTTTGGAGAAAAAAATCGGCTAGACCACCTGAGACTCAGGCGCTGCCGCTTTTTCTGTCTTTTTGGATCGTTTTTTTAAGGTGACAGCGGCGGCGCCTAAGACTGAGGTGGCGCCGCATGAGGCATAGGTGAGTAGGTGGGAAATTGTCCCAGGCGTTGGCACCCAAGACTAAGGTGACATCGCTGGCTTATTGCTAACTACCCCCTATAAAACCAGCGAATTTCGTTTCAGTTATTCACACCACAAAAAAATCGACCAAGATAGAGGAGAGCTCTGGTTGCTGCTGCAAAAATGACTAATAGGTAATAAACACATTTATTATTTTAATTATATTATTCAAATGCTATTATGATTGTGTTTAGTTTTAATTAGTGAGTTTGTTTTTCTGTAGTAATTTTAGAAGATTTGAACTAGTCATTCGGTGGAAATCGGAGAAAGTAGAGGATAATTTGGACATCAAATTAGTTGGTGGTAGTAGTTTTCAGTTGACGGTTCCATCCAGGGTCACATATCACAAACTTTGTGAGAATCTAATTCCGAGAATACGGTGTAGAGATGAAGCAGTACAAGATAGTGATGTGATCACAGGTTTCACTTACCGTCTCCCATAATGGCAGAATGGTGTTTTATTTCATTATGTGATGCCTATTGTGGATGATGATAGCTTGAATGTGCTTTGGAATTTTATTGCACAAAATCCTTATTGTTTGGGTGCTGAGATACATGTTGAGCTCAGTGAGGATCAGGGTGGAGAGGAAGAAGATGATACATGGAGCGTGTCATCTGATCATGACTATGATGACGGAGAGGAGGAAGATGAGGAGGAGGTGGAGGAGGAAGAGGAGGAAGAGGGGGAAGGAGAACAACCTAATTATCCTCAATATTTTTACTTGCAGGGTAATGAAGAGGACGAAGAATTATCACTTGCTGATTCATATGGCGTAATTCCAATGCCTATTGTTGCTAGTTTTGAAGGAGAATTCTACAAGGGGCAGATATTTCACCCGAAACAAGCTGCACAGATGGCGATTAAACACCACGCACTACAACGCAACTTTCAATATGGCGTGGTGGAGTCGCAACTTTCAATATGGTGCGGTTTGGATGTCGAGATGTTGGAGGCGAATGGACTGTGAGAAAGGCTGAGTTGGTGCATTCTTGTAGCAGTACGACTCAACCAATGCATCACCGTCGATGGCCAGACCGGACAGTGTAACAACGTCCTCTAACGTGATCGTGACCTCACCAAATGGTATATGGAAGGTCGACGTCTCGGGTCGCCACCGCTCTACGAGAGCAGTAATCAAACTCGCATCGGAGTTCATAGGGACCAAAGGCACGACACTAAACAAGCCAACCGCTTCGAGATATGGCCGATAAAGCTCATGTACGTCACTAAATTGGTCGTACCTCGAACATGGTAAGATCGATCACCAGCCTATAGTGCACAAAACTTATATTAATTCAATTTCATTCGTAGTAATCCTAATTTTCACCTAATAAATTCTAATCTATATAATCTAATATCAAATTATACTAATTTCAAAAAATTTGATACGTAATCCTATTCTAATTTCAGTACAGTTCAGTTCACCAACTAAAATAATCTAATTAGCTAATGAACTTTACATGAATAATTATCAAATACTTACCTCGTTTGCCCAAATTGAGTCGATACGATGTTGGCCATGTCCCCAAAGAAGTACGGGATCGACCGGAGCTGGATCAATTGTCGTCGGCGGTAGTCTCATCGAATAAGGGTCCATAAGCCTAGGAACTGTAAAAACAAAACAACAAAAACATTAATTAAAAAAAAACACTAAACATTAATTAAAAAAACCTGCCGCCGGCGAGACTCTCACTGCGAAAACGGCCGCCGACTCCACGACCTCGCTGGCCTCTGCCAGCGACTAGTTCGTCTTCGTCGGACGACATCTCCGTCAGGCGGTGGCGCTTCTGTCAGCTGCGACGACGCTTCTATCTGCGGCGGCAACGCCTGGGTCTTCGACGGTGGTGTCTGGATCTTCGGCGGTGGCGGGTGTGACGATGCAATAGAAAAATTAAATCAAATTAATCTCTATTCTGTAGTGTCAAACTCTATCTTCCAAACGATGCAATAGAAAAATAATTTCAAAGAGTAAGGAAAAGGTGGTATCGTGTTTAAAATTTAGCAGACATGAATGTTGAACTAACAATAAGCTATTCGCTAATTGCCTTCCTCTTCTTCCCACTTCGCGACACTATTATCATGCACGAGCACGTATATATCGAGGATACCCTCAGCCCCGAGCACGAGTAAATGACGTTCCTACCCTCTTCACAGTACTTATTATTCTCCATCTCTTTTGTTTGAATTTTGCTTAAAAACGTCGTCTCCCGGCCCGGCGCCGATCTGTCCGTTTCGTCATCACCAGTCCCTCCGTCGCCCACAAGGCACGCATTCGGCATTTTTCACTACCGGACAAAACTAAAAACAAAGCCGTTAGTGGCATTTCTCGCAATTTCCACCAACTCCCAGGGTCAGATCTCTAACCCCGCCGAAATTTCAGAAACTTCACGGACAGTTTCTCGTCGCCCGATGAACCAACCCGGACCCCGATGACTCTCTCCTCCTTTGTGCACACAGACAAAATCCCCTAAAAAACTCCTAAAACGACGCTCTGGTGTTTGACCATCGTACCCTCCGTGCCCCACCTCCCATTATTGATAATCACCAGTGGCATTTTCGTCTTGAACGGGGGAAAATTCATAAACAAAAGGGAAATTAATTTCCCTCTCTGTTTTTTTTTATTGGTTTCTTCTGAGAATTCAAATTTCAGATCGTTACAAACTGAGACGACGGGAGGGAAGAAAGAAACAGAAGAAGAGAGAAGGAAGAAGAAAGAAGACGATCTATCCATTTTAATGACTTTTTGGAATGTAATGAACCAATAAATGAATTGATTGGATTCTTTTATTTTTTGTATGTGGACTAGCGATTATTATTCATTTATTTGCTTGCCTGTTTTGGATTCTGTTGTTACTGTGTAAGAGCGAGCGGGCACTGCTGCTGTCCCGCTGAGCCCGACTCTCCCTTTTTCTCAATCGAAGCGATTCATTAGGGTTTTCAGCTCGCCGGAGAAGAGTGGAAAAGTGATTTGGCGGCGTCTGAATGGTGTGTGGCCGTTTGAGGGGTTTAGAGTGAATACAGTGCAGTGAGTGAGTCGAGCGATTTGAGGGGGGAAATGGAAAGCGGAATGGAGGAGGAAATGGAGGTGGAGTTGTTTTACTATGAGGCTCGGGAAGTGGATCCTGACTACGAGTTCGATGCGCCGATGTTCTTCGATTTCAGCCGGGAGGAGACCTTCGCGGAGGCGCTGCTGGCCGAGCGGTGGTTCGGCGCGGCGTCTAGTTACCCTCCGTCTCGTGAGTTTTGTGATTATCAAGCTGCATTTTATTTGGCAGTGGAAAAATGCTCCCCTTTTGCCTCCTGTTTGGTTCACTTGCGAATTTTGCCTTTGTTTTCGCCTTTCAAGCTCTTAATCCCCTTTTTCTTCTTTTGTGCAAAGCATTGCGCTCTGTTCTCTTTGAGTTAGGTTCTGATTCGTCCGTGATTCTGATTTCCTTACGGTCTTATTGTCTTTCCTTGGGTTTCTTTCTTCCATCTTTGTTTCAGCATTTGTGGCAAAGTTGGTGCTGAGAGAGGAAATCATGTTGCAGAACATTAATACATCTCCAAAACCTAAAGGTGCTGAATATATGACCACCTCGCTCAATGATGAAGACGGTGGTGCTCTGGGCCCGGAAAGTGCAGCGGTGGGGGATGACCATAAAGGTAAAAGAACCCTAATTCTACTTCTTTGATTGTTTATTCAGTGGCCCCCCTTTGTCTCAGAGCCAACATACATGAAGGATATTACGGGATTCTCCGTCCTTGATTCTTTTCATCGATCATTGCACGGTATGGATCGTGATTTGGGACGGTAGGGATTGGCTCATCTGGATAGGTTGGTCCAGCCACCTTTTCTTGTTTGATGGTCTAAGTAGAAAATGTCAGTTACAGCTTTCTTTGGGCCTGAATTTTAAGCTGTTGGAATGGAGACATCCGAGGTTTCTTCTGTATAGAGACATGGAATATGACTGGTGTTTCTTTGCCTGGAAATACAGGGCGGGGATCAATATGAACCATTCTAGTTTGGTGCTCTAACATGCCTAGATATGAGACCTGAGTTTTCTATTTGATACAGAAATCAAGTTTCAGATTTTTATGTGCTTAATCTAGGATCTTGGCTTGAATCATTTCTAAGTGTCAGTGTGATCAAATATAAACTTCCATTCCCAGCACTGATCATTTGAAAAGATTCCCAATCCAGGGCCAGAACTAGCAACAATCAGTGTCCTATCGTAACTGTGCATTCATGTTCGATGCTTCAAATGACCATCACTTTTTCATGGATCCTGTGATCAGAGTGTATTGTTTTTGTTCCCCTTTTAGGAAGAACTCGGAAAGATTGGTACCTTTAATACTTCTGTGGCCTATTCCGGCCCAAGGGAAACCACTATTGGGAGAGTGGCTTTTTGCTGCTTTCATGATTTGACATGACTATGTTCTCAACTCTGATTATCTTTTGTCTGGTCACAGCAGGATTCATATTTTACAATCATATATTGAGTGATAAATTCAAAGCCAAGGAGAATCCGTTGAAGCCTAAATCTCGAGGTTGCTCAACTTTGATGAGACCAACAGCCAGTCTGTTGGCTAAGCAAATACGAGCACCACATGTTGGCGGTTCAAGGTGATATTTCTTATCCCGTTTCCATGGTTCTAAATATGATACAGTCATATTTGCTCCACTATTTGTTGATACTTTCGCAATGAGCTTTATTGTTGGAGTTACGAATTATATTGGATTGCATTGCTTGTTGATGATTTATTTACTAGGCTCCACATTGTGAATGTTTGTGGTGTCGAAAAGTATTTTGTGAACCTCCTGAGTCATAGCTTCAAGAGATATAGAACATACCAATCTGAATGAAGGAGTCACCTCACTTAATCTATCTGTTTTTCCACCCCTGCCTAACTCAGTTATGAAATTGTCTAACTCAATTTAGAATGTACCGTATTTTTTAAAATTTGAGAACCATTATAATCAGATGTCTCTGTTGCCTGCATTACATGCTTACGATGTGGCATCTCTGTTGTAAGTTGTAACTTCTCATGGAATTTCTTGTTGCAATACTATTCCCCCTGGATATCAGGTTTCAAATGGCTCTAGATCAGAAAGGAAAAAGCATACCTAACTCTTCCATGGTCGAAAATCAGGCTGCCAAACGGCAGAAGTTAGAGGGAGGTCATCTGCGTAAGGTACTGCATTCCCCAAGCAATTATTTTGTTCATTGCTCTCAAGCTACAGTTTTGGTTTGGTAGCAATAGATTTTTACCACTTCCTGGCACCTACATTGTTCAACTTGAGCTTTAAGTTTTATACCTTTGTGGTGATTTAGTTGCTTTCTTTTGTGTAGCAGGTTGGTGATGCAAATCCCCAGACTGATTTCCTCCATAAAGCACCTGCTAAGGTATATATTTTGAGTTATCTTTTATCAATCGTGTTCATCTATTTGCCTCCAAACTTTAATACTTCATACAGTCTTGTCCGGAAAATAAGGATTTCGACAGTGAGTTCTTACATCACACAAATTGGGAACTTCTTGACATCCCTGATAGCTCTTAATTTTCCATCAGTATGGATATTTTGCCTTGTTGGTTTAGGAGTAATGATTATATAACCCTTGGATTAGAGTTTACTCTGTTTTTCTTATGCTATGGGGAACTAAGCAGAATTCTTGATTTCTATGAGTAATAGTTAACTGTCAGATGTTGCCTAACAATAGCTCTGTCCTTGTGAAGCTGAGGATAACCATTCCAAGAGAGCCGGACTTTGAGACAGCACATAGAGCACACAGAACAAGGTTTTTCATTTTGATATCCAGTTCAGGTTGTTGTTATACATGTTTTGGTTTACATGGTCCTGAAATTAATCGCTTTTTCTGATGCAGGCCTATGATTACATCAGAATTTGAACATACAACAGTTGCTGTTCGAAGATTCAAAGCACGCCCGTTGAACCGCAAAGTTGGTTCCTGAACTTCAGACAATGTTATTTAGGGAGGCCTTCAGTATTCTATTTAATAATTGTTCATTTTTTTTTTGGTGAATAATTGTTCATTTCTAATTTGCAGATTCTTGAGGCCCCGTCGTTACCTATCCCAAAGAAAAGCACTCCAAGGTTGCCTGAGTTTCACGTGGGTTCTCTACTTATAATCTATCTTTCCTTTTTATGCTTTTTTGTTCATGTGTTTGCCTGAGTATAATCCATTCTCATTGCTTTGCAGGAATTTCACTTGAAAACATCAGAAAGGGCCAAGCAGCATACTTCTGCAGTTTCATCTTCCTCACTTCAGTGCTCCGGTTCTAATCAGGTAAACATTTTTAAGTTCCTATTACGATTAATATTGTGACTCTCTATTGGTTATGTTTGTTCTGAGTGGTAGGCTGTTGTGTAGCTAATCTACTATTTCATATGAAAAATTGAGTGTTTTTTGCAGGGCATGGACAAGCAGGCTACATTCTCTGTTGCAGAAATGGGAAGGAGAGAATCCCGAAGGTAATAAGATTTCTGAAGAATGGAACAAGTTCCGGGGTTATTTTAAAAATGTCGAGCAATTGAGGTCTAGGAATGCTTTCTTAAAACCTGTTTGTCTATCCCCAGACCTAGTACCCTCAATGCTGCAAAGCAGGATGGACAAACTGCAGCACACATATTCAAAGCTCGCCCACTCAATAAAAAGGTACCAAGGAAAAAGTTGAGATCACATCCTCAAAAAGCTTGTTACTCAAAATTCATATGGAATGCTTTTTCATGTTTGAATGCAGATTCTTTCAAGCAAAGGAGACATAGGTGTTTTTCGAAACAGCAAGCGGCAAACCACAGTGCCCATGGTAGTTGTCATTTGCAGAAAGGCTCGATTCTTTAGTTTTCGGTTCTACACATTCCACTGATGCTGTTTCGTCTACAACCTTTTGCAGGAGTTTAATCTCCATACAGACAAGAGACCTCATCATAATCCTCCGACAGACCTATTTAGCAAGGTAGCCGTTTCCAAAGTCTGAAATTCATGTTGCAGTAAATAGCAGCCAAAAGTTTGAAACTCTTTCTTACAATTTGGCTGATTGGAAATTGCAGCTGTCATTAAAATCTGAAACCCAGCCATGGGTGGAACCTCCGTCCCAGTTTACTCGATCAAACCCTTCAGCTCAAGAGGTTTCTCTACTTAAGGTTTATACGGTTTTCCACCTTAAGCCTGCACACTTTTATCCCTGTTATCCCTTTGACTCACTTAGTCTTATGATTGTTCATCTTTGCAAGGGCTCAAAAGAGAATCAGTTGAATCATCAGACAGACCACAAGGTAACTTTGTATGCTAGTGATATTCAAGCTTAGCAAGCTTCAACTGTAACCGGTGTCTTCCTCATCTATACCAACGACATGATACCGTTTGTCCATCTACAGATGCAGCACGTACCGAAAGGAAGGCCATCTGGTGGCTTTGGTGGAAAGCAGATTCGCCCAGGAAGCAATGGATGCAACAGTGATGTCGGGAACCAGTACGGCGTGAGGTATGCAGCCGAGAAAAAGGTTAATCACTGATATTCCATGTTTTTTGCACCCTGCATCTCCCATACTTCTTGCCACACAATCAAACTTCGGAAATTGTTCTAGGAACTTGGGCATCCGGTGAGAAGAGTAGCTGAGGCCTGACAAAAAGAATCCCTTGGAAAGCAAGCAATCAGAATCCATCACTTGAGACTTCTTTCCCCCACAACCCTTCTGCAAAACTGCACAACTGCCTTCGAGTCAGTTGAAGGAATCGATTTCTTCCAGAAGAAGAAAGCTGCTATTCTCACACCAGCAATGTACATCTAACTTTACAACAGCGATTAGGTCTTTCTCTCGACCCCTACCCTTTTAGTGGAAAGAAGAATCTCTAGTTAAAAGGCCGGTGTTGTACAGCCATTAGAGGCCTTTCTTACCCTTTAGCAGTATACCATATTTTGGCCTTTCTTGCAGCAACCCAGAAAACCTCCCCTCCTTTGTAGCTCTCTTTTCTAAATGTAATCACTAATAAGATTATTGATATTTTGTTTCCAATGTAGCTTCACCAGCTTCAGCAATAGAAAGGAAGGATATGTATCATTATATCTCCATTGCTTCTTACCACAAAAGGAACAAAAAAGTGTTACAATTGCTAATTTGCTATGTGGTACTATATCTATACTATAGCTGCTGCTGAAGCCTTACATTATTTGTGAGTGGATGACTCCTTCTCATCCCCAGAATCCTTGTTGCCAGAGTTATGCTTGTTCAATGCCTGTTTCGTCCACCTTCTGAAGCTGCTCTTCAGTGGCTTCTTGTCCCTCACGAGTCTCTTCTTCGTTATGGCGATGGCAAGATCGTTCGGAAACAGAGTCCTCCACACAAAGCCATGGAGCAATGTGGAGACGAAAAGCATCAGCACCATCGTCGTCGACATGAAGGACAAGATCAACACGAGGACCTTGCTTGGGATACAAGGTACGTGTTCTGCATACTTAATTGTCGCCACAGATGCCGTCGTCATTGGAAATGTGTAAGACCACCACGCTACTGAGAACCTGTCGATCAAATGAAAACCAAAATCAAATCATCATTACTAGATAGAGATTATGCAATTGACCACTGTGTTGTGTGTAACAGATTTACCTAAACCCGGTGAAGAACTTGACTCGAACGACGAGAGACACATAGAGAAACAGAGCAATGAAGTAGCAAGTCCTTGACAACCCATCAAACTCCCCATATATAGTCTCCCAAGCAATGCTGGCCGCCGATGGCGCCGCGATGAACATCGAGTAAACAGGATGAAGCTCTTTAGGCAACGCCTCACTCGTCGGCAGCCTCTGATACAGAGTCACAAACACCACGAGGTAATGCGCGAACCCAACCGCCCACAAGAACTTAGCCGCTTCCAGCCACCCTACTTTGGCCGCCAGAATCGCCCCCACGAAGTTCCCCACCACTGACAGATGAGAAGACGGGTTCGCCACCTTGCACAGCCGCCTCTTCCCGCCGGACAGCCACTGTCCGTAGATCTTCAGCTCCAGGAAGAAGTAAGGCCCCATGAAGACGCACCATATGGCCGGGTGGAGCTTCTCCGGCGAGAGCATCGGTGGTGCTCCGATGGCTAGGAACATGCAGACTACCCAGGGTGCGAAGAAGAAGTTCACCCTGACCGGGTGGAAGTACTCACGACGAACGGCTTCGAAGTAGAAGATGCATTTGAGGATGTAGGTGACGGAGACTGAGAACAGGACTGCTATGGCTAAGAGCCAGAGGATGAGATTGATGAATGGCGTGACATGGAGGAATTTGGTGGCAGGGGAAGTGGCTAGCGCTCGCCAGAGGACTGCTTGGCTGCTCAGGCCGAGGCAGATACCGAAGCAACCGATTGGGAAGCGCAGGAGGAATGGCCATAGCTCGTCCTTTGGCAGCAGAATGTCTTCATAGTCCTGCATCCATCCAAACATCTCATAATATAAGTTTTTCTACAACAAGAAGATGATCCAAATCTACTGTCCATCCAGAACTCTATACCTTGACTTGGTCGAGCTCGGGTCCGGTAAGAGCAGCAAAGTACCTCCCAGCAGGAACACCATTATGAACAGAGTCGTGATCACCACCTCCATTAACATGATTCGAATTCTGATCATTATTATTCCTCTGCCCCGACCAATGCTCCATCTGGTCCGACCGATTGTCACCTTTCTTAATCGGCAGCAACGAATTCTGCTTGCTGAGGCTCGATTTCGTCCTGAACATGCTGAAGTCCCCTTTCTTTTCCCCTGCATCAATACCACCAACATTGAGCCGTTTAGCCGAATCGAACCCACCAAAGCTCCGCCCGCTCCTGGGTAGGACTTTAATCCCTTCATCTTTATTGGCTTTCGACGATGAAGCAGCTTCCTTGCCCATGAGAGCTGAAAACCCCGTCTCCAAGGAAACCTGCCTGCTGAAGCTAACACCACTTCTTTGACCTCCAAACCCGCGGATTCTGAATTGCCTGACCGATGGAGGCCGGTTTGGTTTTTGGTTGCGTTCCATTGTTGTTCTCTCTTCTTCTCCACCTCCTTCTTCATCTCCTTCGTGGAGTACTTCATGGATGTCCACGAAATGGCTGTCCCCTGGCTTCGGAGAAGCTGGCTTCATTGTTTGTTTTTTCTCCATTGTTGTTTCCCAAAGGCAGAGACTTTAGGGTGTGGGTTTATTGTTTATAGACGCGCTTGAAAAGAGCATGATCACGAGCAGCTTTGTTTGGAGGGCATTGGAAGCTGTGGTGTGTGAACCAAAGTTTGAGGCCCAAATGGTGTTGTCAAAGCCAAAGTGTAATGGCGAAATGGAGGGGTTCTTCTCGTGATTCAGAAATCGACCTTGTGGCTCTTCTTTTTTCTGCTACACGCAGGAGGGAGTTTGGGGTAGATGGAGGATTTCACGGGTTGAAGAGAGACAGCCAAAGGTTTTGTGAGTTGCTTTTTCCCCCTGCAAAGCTTTGGTTTCCGATGGAAGATTTTTGGCGAAGGAATAGATAGCTAGTTGGCTTGATGTATTCCTTTTCCAATAGAATTCATAAATTCCCGTGTTTCTGCATTGCAGGGGGAGAGTTGTTTGAATCCCTCCCTGCATATAGACATGGTGGGGGAAACAGTTTATTTTGTTACTCGTAACAATAAGCAGTTTCTGAGAAACAAAAGCAGCTAGAAAGCTGTTCTTAGCGAATTGACCATGCTGAACTAGATTAGTTTTATCATCGTTGTTCTCTATATTTAAACTTACCGCTATAATAGTGAAATTAATGACAGAATATAATTGTTATATGACCGTATTAGCACAAGTTACACGATTTAACAAGGATAACAAAATGGTAAGGTGTTTGGTATAAAAAACTATGGAGATAAAGGTAGAGATGTTAATGGTGATATAAGCACTTAGAGATGAGCCGTATTGTCGAAGTGAAGATTAGAATGAAGTTTCTAACTGTGATATTTGCTTATTTTATGTATTGTATTAAGTTATAGGATCGATAGCTATGTTCATGTATATATTTATGAATAGTGTAAATACTACAATAAAATAAAAAAACAGAATAATGTTCTCTTTTCAATATGGTTTCCGAGAAATTAGTTTGTCACTTTAGTTTCTTTCATAATGGAACTAGGGTTTTCCCCTATCATTGCCATGAAATTTCATCTACCAACCCTTGCTGTGCAAACTTTAGCCACAAATCATGCCTATCACATTGATTGAAGAAATGATCTGACCATGCAACTCGTTTCATGTTAATGAATATGATCACATTCTATGTTTCAATGGTTGCAATATCATTGTCCTAAGATGCACTATTTTTTTTATTTGTGAACAACATATCATATTCGTTTAATCGTTTTGGGTTGGCCCTTCATTATCCCCCCGACATGTAGGTAGCAATATTTTTTGTATAAATTTTCAAATTATAAAAGTATATATGAAAATTTAAAAAACATAGTTTTATAAAAATTTTCCCGTTCCATTTCTTACCTCAACTTCATAGTCCACGAGATTTCGAACTCATTGGTTAAGAGTATGCATGGCTGCTAATAAGTAGAGTAGAGCCAAGTTTTGATTTAATTTGAGTTCATCTCATCAATAAATGAGTCATGTTCGAAGTTTGCTTGTTTACTAAAACCTTAACTTATGTTTGGCTCGAGCCTCGAGCTTGACTCGAGTTTGGCTTGTTAATGAGATAATAAGCTATAGTTGACTTCGCCTCATCAATCAACTCACGAGACTGGCTCAAGTTCAGGTATCGTATCATTTAGTTCATCCGTGTTAATTGTACATATAATGTTATTTAATAATAATTAGTATTTAAACAATTTATTATATATAATTTATCTTTGAAAATACAAAAGAGACATATTTGATCACATGCTCTAAGTCTTAAACGTTATATGCGGTGATATAAACAATCTCACAAACCTATGAATTATCAACAAGGGTACTGATAATAGCCCATAAGTTGCTAGTTGAGAAGGCTAGTTAGCCATACTAGAGAGTAAGCTCATAGCTCAAAAAGAGCTAGCTCATGAATTGAACTCAATAAGCCATTGAGTTGAGATGGCCCGCGAGCCTTGCAAGCTTAACAAAGTATAGTTTGAACTTGACCCATTAATAAACGAGCTAAATGTAAAACCAATTTTTTCCAAACCAAACATCAAATTGCTCATGAATAGCTCAACTCATTTACAGCCCTCCTTATGAGTATGGCTGTTAATTTGGTTTGGTTTGGTTAACCAAACCATTAAGTATGAAAAACCAAAAATCAAAAACCAAATCCCAAAAACCCAAACCAAAACCATTAAGGCCCTTATTGGTTTTGGTTTGGATAACCAAAAAACCAACATGTACTCATACACTCATATTTATTCCTATTTCCCTCCTTTTTATTGAATAAACGTCATAATAATGGTAAATATGGCCATAACAAATTATTGGTTGGCATGCGTGTCAAAAGAAAAAAAATATTTGTTGATAAATAATTTTATTCTTATTGGTTTCTTTTCTTAATGGTTTCTATTGGTTTTCGGTTTTAACCAAACCAAAACCATTAAGTTACTTATTGGTTTAAAACAAAAAAACTGAAACCATTAGCTTTCCAATTGGTTTGGTTTCGGTCAAAACCAAAAAACCAAAACCAAATGGACCCCTACTTATGAGTGAGGAGTAGAGGTGGCAAATGGATTGGATTGGTGGATTGGATTGGTGAATCCATGGATCAAATGGATTGGATCTAATGGATTGGTGGATTTATGGATTGGATCAAGTGGATTGGTGGATTATCCATGAATCCAAATGACATCCTCAACCAAGGACTAATATGTAAAATGTAAAAAGTTTAGGTACTAAAATGTCATAATGAAAAATTTTAGGTACCAAAACGTAATTTTCCAACGATATTTTTCGTCTAAAAAATTAAATTTTAGGTACCAAAATGTAAAAAATAAAATTTATAGGTGCTAAATTGTAATTTGCCAATGATCCATGAATCGAATCCATGAATCCACCAATCCAATTGGATTTGGATAAAATGGATTGAATTTAAATGGATTGGATTAGGTGGATATTTTTAATGGATTGATGGATTGGATTGAAATTGCCAGTGAGGAGGGGTTCAATATCTTTGGCATCATGGAAAAGTCATTCTCCATGTGAAATATCGCAAGGGCCGGGCCTCGCCTCGGTTTCGTGCAAGTTGGCAGCAGACGATGGGCTCTATTGGCCCAAATAGCTCAGATTTCATATCGGTTCAATTCTTCGAACCCCTAGCAGAAAGGCCCAATCCAACATTAGTAGCATTACTTCTTACAATGTCAGCTCAAAACATATGGACTAGAGGGTATCATTTCTTGAAACTTACATATATAATTAGGGTTGCAAATAAGCCGAGCGGTTCGCGAGCGGCCGCACGACTTGGGAAAAGCTCGTTTGAAACTCGGTTCGTTTACTAATGCGCCGAGCTTGAGTTTAGCCTTCTGCAACTCGTGGAACTTGCGAGGTAGCTGGACTTGGTGGCTTGTTGAGCTCAACTCGTGAGCTGACTCGTTTAGAGCTCATGAGATGTCTCAATTCTCAACATTGTGGCTAGAGAGCCAACTCGATAACCGATTCATGAGCGAATTGATCTATATGAGTTTGATTTTGATAATTCATAGGATTGTTAAATTATATATCACACCATATATGAAGTTTAACACATAGATGATGTGAGCAAATATGTCGTATTTAATTTTAAAAATAAATTATATATCATAGATTGCTTCGATTCTATGAAATAACAAATAGTTTGATGCCACAAATTATAAAATGAGATTAGTTAATATTAAACACTTAACTTTTTTATTATTTTAATCTTGACATTAATCATTATATATAGCTCGAAGTCGACTCGACTCGTTCTCACCAAAAAAAAGAAGTCGATTCGACTCGTTAATAAACGAGCCGAGCTTGGGGTACTTGACTCGGGCCATTTGTAGCCCTAATATAATACGTCAATGCAATACCTAAATGCACCTATTTCCATTTGGCAACAGGCAGACCAATTTTAAATATGGTTCATGATGCCTGCCCAAGCTGGCATAGTGCAGCCACCTGCAGTAACAGCCATATCAACACAATCAGCTTATTAATTATGCGAGACAGAGACTAGTTCTCTCTTGGTTATTTATTTTACCTTAATTATGTGGCGTACGGCTTATTTATTTTACGTCGTAACGAAAAAAATACAATCTTACGTGGGAATTTATTTTTTGTGTCATTTTTGGAGAATAACAATCTTTTTCCAATTATTGATGCTTTCTTTAAGACATCTCCTTGTACCAGAAAACCTTTTTTTTTTTTAATACTTCTACACCCATTAAAATCACCCCTTCAGTCACTGTTATCTTAAAGCCAGGTTAGACTGAATGACACTTTTACCTACTAATGCATGCCTATCCACCACCGATGCTCAATTAATCAGCCAGAAAATGATTTATTCAAATACAGTCAAAATCGTGCTTTAAAATTTAAAAGTTTACGTTTCTATCTTTTTAAATCACCAAAATGTTTCAACATAGAATCATACTTTTCTCTTACAAGTGTAGTCAAAATCTACGCTTTGAAACTAAAAAACTTACGATTTTGGTTGCATTGGATTGTTCATATTCATATTATACACGCTTAAAAGTTAAAACCATAACAAAAGTATTGTTCAGTGCTCACTATGGTATTGCCGCCCCAAGCCGGTTGTCTGCAGACGACAACAAACAGCCTTAGCTTGTTGTTGTTGATCATTTCAACAAGAGAGTGTGTGATGGCTACAAACCAAAAACCAACAAACAGAACTAACAAGATCAGTCCTACCGCTACCTGATTTACTGATATAAATACTCGGGTGAAACTTCATCATTCCAACAACACAACACAACACAAGACATACACCAATCTGTTTTCTTGCTCCTCCAAAAAGAAAAAGCAAGAACAGCTAATCGTCGCCATGGCTTGCTTTTCGAGCAATAACAAGAAGATGTTGGTTTCGATGATCGCCGTGGTCGCCGCTTTGGCAGTTTTGGCTCCCACGATGGTTTCGGCGAAACAATACGTGGTGGGTGATGACAAAGGTTGGACCAAGGATTTTGATTACACCACTTGGACCGCCGGCAAGCAATTCTTCGTCGGTGACTCTCTTGGTAAGTAATAATCTTTTAATTTTCCATGTAATAATAACTCGTTGATCAAGAGAAAACGTTATTAATTAGAACATAGTGATTATAATTTAGGTTTATAATGTCAATGATATTATCTATGCATTGCATGCAGTGTTCAACTACGCACAAGGAAGCCACAACGTGTTCAAGGTGAACGGTACAGATTTCATGCAGTGCTCCAAGCCACTCGTTGGTGCGCCACTCACCACGGGGAGCGACGAGATCCCGCTCAAAACCACGGGGAGGAAGTGGTACATCTGCGGCGTCGCCGGCCACTGCGCCTCCGGTCAGAAGCTGGTCATCACCGTCTCCGACGGATCCGCGGCTCCGGCACCGACGCCGACCTCTCCATCAACCGGCGCCGCCTCTAGGAGCATCATCAGTGCTGGGTTTGCTGCTGTCATGGTGGTTGTCGGTGTTCTTGGGATGTTCATGTTCTGAAAATTTGAGTTGTGTTTTTGGAGTAAGATTATGAGTAATGGAAGTTATGATTTGTGTTGTTGTCATATCTGAACTTAGATAGAAAGGCTATAGTTCAGGTTTTTCACTTTTTGTGTGTTTGAGTTATATTTTGGGAGAGGAAGGTTATGGTTCATGTCATCTTTGATTTATATTCTTTTGTATTACCAAACAAAATAAATATATTTCTTATGAGATCTTTTTGTTTTTAACATCCTATTATGAGCATCTACACATTCTAATGATCAGGTTTACTTCCTTAATCTTTATCATGTTTATCGTCATGAAATATCTCCAGAATTAGGATTTAGGAGGCGATTCATCCAAGTTTCTAAGCTTTCCAAATGGTTTAGTCATGGTTTTGAGAAGATGAAGTTAGAATGGTTGTCAACCTTACTAGAATGTCAACGAGGTAAGTTGTTAGCCCGTTTAGAAAATTTTCCTATAAATTTTCCATAATTACTTTTATGAAGTATTTAGTTTTAATTATAAATTCAAACGAAGAAAATTAATACATTGGATGTATAATACTATAATACATTAATATTGTTTATGCCACTTATTTTTAATGTTATATAACTACAATAAGGCACAAGTAGGGTTGTCAATCGGTCATAACCGTGCAACCAGACCGACAATGTCGGGTTTTCGATCAACCAACAACTGAAATATGTATACGGTTTGTAGTTGCGGTTGGTCAATTCCCGGCACTGAAAACAAATTGCGATTAACGGTCATAACCGAAAAACACGCGGTTCAATCACCTTTACCGCAAATTCATCCCACCCTGGTCAAACGGATGCGGCCCACAGGCCTTCCGCCTTCATCTCCCTCTTTTCGCGAATCACAATTACCGACAACAGACATGTGAACCCTAAGAGCATCCACATTGGTATTGCATTATCAATTTCAAAATGACATGGCATAGAAAATAGAAAGAGGGCGGGAGTCGACCAATAGTCGAACTCTCGATGAGAGGGCCTTTTATGCCACATGATGGGCAGCCCTATTGAGACAGCGGAGAACAAAACAGTAAGAAACCCAACTACAGAGAGAAGCCGAGCTCTGAGCATCATGCAAGATAGTTCCATCCTGATCATGAGCCAAGTCACCTGTCTGAGGAAGTTCCACCGATAACGGGAGCTCTTCTGCGTGCCTCTACAAAAAAAAAAAAAAAAAAACACTCACAAGCGTCCCCAACTAAGCTCCACCAAATGGACTTAAACAAGCCATTAAGGCTTAGTCGGATACACCGAAACCAAAACTATGTCAATTTTATTTTAAGAATAGTTAAAGAAAAGAAAAAAAATGGACGAAATTGACAAAATGAATAAAAGGGAGGGTAAGTATCAAAAGAAAACAAATAAAAATTACTAATAAATAATGAAGGAAATAAAAAGATAAAGGAAATAAAAAATGACTAAATTGCAATAATGTAAAAAAATGAAACTGAGGAGTCTGTTTGAGTTACTTACCCGGAGCAGTTACGCCATTCCAAAAGGTGGGAAATTGTAATTAATTAAGAAACCACGAAAACCTTTCAACTCCCTAAACTAGGAAAATACTAAACGACAAAAAAGAAACACTATTACCAAAAAATTAAGTAAATGACATGGCATAGGTGTATGATTTTATAACAACCGACTTTGCGAAAAAAAAAAGACATGGCATAGGTGTTTGCAATTGCAAAACCAATTGCATTGATGTGGCTACCAATTGCATATTTGCAAGCTTGCAATAAATGAAATTTTCATATGCAAGTCAAAAAAGCCTACAAAAATGAGGATTTTTTTTATTATTTTCTTCTCTTTTACTTAATTTTCTATAATTTAAAATTAATATTTAATTATATTTGCAATTGCAAGTTAATTGCATTGATGTAGGTGAATGAAATGTGTGATGTGGATTGCAAAGAATTTGAGTTGACAATAAAAAAAACAAATGCAATTTCTTTTGTAATTGCATTGATGGAGATGCTCTAAAACCTTCCCAAAAATTGCTCCCGCCCGCCGCCCTCCTCCGATTTCCTCCCCAACGAACACCAACCCTCTCCGCCGCTAGCCGTCGTCTGCCCTGCTGTCGTCCTCACTTCGTCCTCGCCAAGCCGTTGTCCTTGCCTCTCCAAATGGGGTCGCTTTGGTTGGTCTCTGACAGACGAATCGCCAAACGCGATTGAAGACGAGGAATCGGGAAAGAAACCCTAGATCATTTGGCTGGTCTCCTTTGCAAGTAGAAACCCTCCCGCCGCCGCTTCCCTCCCGAGTTCCGCCGCCAATCATGAGTCATCTCGCCATCGCCACACTGCCAATTATCGTCCTCCATGTCATCGGCCTCGCCCCGCAATCCCGCCGTCGCCCCGCAATCCCTCTGCCATCCCGCAGTCCGGACATCGCGCAACAATCCTGGCGTCGCCCAGCAATACTGACTTCGCCCAACGATTCTGAGGTCGCCTAGAACTCGTCGCCGCCGTCCTCCCTCCCAGAACTCGTCGCCACTCCTAGAACTCCCACCGTCGTCAGCGGTCTCGGCTAACCGCAGACAAAAACCGAAACTGTCGGTCGCGGTTAGTGGTTAACCGAAGCTTCCTTCGGTTGCAGTTGCCGTTTCTGTAACACTTTCGATTGCGGTTAACCACTGGTGCGGTTCGGTTGAATTGAAATCGCACCGACTAACAGCCCTAGGCACAAGCCAACAACATTAAAAAGAAATATTAAGTAAATCAATTATAAATAGTTCTTAGCTTGAGACTGAAAATTATCACTTTCTCCCATCTAATATTCGTTTTTCTAATTATTTTTTTCTATTCTTTGATTATTCTATATTCTTCTTTCTGACTCAATTAATTTCTTATTACCTATTTGGATGATTCAAGTTAATTGATTATTTCTCAATTATTTACTATTGTATTCTTTTAGACAATGTGAATATCTGATGGTTTTCATTTGTTTTATATATATATATATATATATATTTTTTTTAATTTTGGACCACGTTTCATTTATAGAACAAGGCCTCCATACAGAGTCGGCACTGCTCTTCCTATATAGGATTCGACTTTCTTGCTAATATGCCGAGAAGAAACGATAGATACACTACCTTCTTAATATTTTTATATAGCCTGAACTTTGACCAAAATAAACATCTTGGCCAATCTTTTTGATCTATAACATCCTGACCCGAACTATACATCAAAATAAACAATTTGGCCAGATCCGACTTTTTCACCGTTAACTTGGACGGTCAAACGCGTTGACTAATGGTCAAACAGGTTGACTAACGATCAACGCACCATGTCACTGCCAACTCAGCAAATTTCAATTAATTTTTTTTTAAAATTTACACCTATTTTCATTTTCTTTCCTTTATCATTTTGAACAAAAAAAAAACACATTTTCAATTTCGGGACAAAACGCACGTCGCTTACCGGGGGTCTGTTGGGTTTTGTCCCGAAATTGAAAATGTGTTTTTTTCCGTTCAAAATGATAAAGGAGAGAAAATGGAAATAGGTGTAAATTGAAAAAATGTTAATTGAAATTTGGTGAGTTGGCAGTGACATGGCGCGTTGACTATTAGTCAACGCGTTTGACCGTCCAAGTTAACGGTGAAAAAGTCAGATCTGACCAAATTGTTTATTTTGATGCATAGTTCAGGCCAGGATTTTATAGATCGAAAAGATTGGCCAGGATGTTTATTTTGGTCAAAGTTCAGGCCATATAGAAATATTAACCCTTTTTTCTATGAAGTAGCTATCAATGCTGTTTTCCGAGGAGGAAACTCTTATGTTTGATTTCAATAAATGGAATTTGACTTATTGAACAACGATAAATCGCTCGGTTCATACCCAACCCAATATTGAGTCTGAGGGAACTAGGGTGTGGGTTAGATGGGTGACTTCCACCCACGCGCACCGAACACCTGGAGTAGTCTACAAATGGATTTGATCATGGCGCATTATAATTTCTAATGCGTCGAGAGAACGATAATCTACTTAACTTCTACTCTTAAATTACCACGAATACCACTAAACTGGTTTATTATTCATCGACGTCCTAAAACCAAAGAACAACGTACATATTTATAGAACTACTCTACAAACCCTTTCCCTCTCAAATAAGGTAAACTAATCCCAACCCAACAAGCAAACAGTAACTTACTCAACAAGACATAATAAACTAATAAGAATAATCATAATAACATAACAATTAACTAATAATAATCCTAATTACTAAGCCTATACGCGACACCAAGGCCATGGGTGCTATAATGCACCAGATCACTCCCTACTCCCTAGCTAGTCCCTCCCCTCCACCACCCCACAAATGGCATTGTTTTGGCAGGTTGACAGTAATTAACAAAGCAAATTATATTGTAGGCATGTCATTGAAATTCTTGGTCACCACCAGATTATAGCTACTGAGCTATTAATATTATAGCCTAATGGCGTTTACATGAAAGCCAAGAAACGTCGCCTGGCCTATTTGGATGGATTTGCTGTGCTCAAGGGTATCATTTCTTGGCGTGAAAAGTATATACGTCAAAATGGCGCTTTAATTTTTAACTAGTGATCATTATCTTCACAACTAACCATTATTAATCCTTCCATATTACAATCTCAAACTAAGTACACAACAAGTTAAAGAGAAAACAACAGTTGGCGCTCACTACAACATTGTGCGCTGTTGCCGCCCTATGCCGGTTCTTCCGTCACGACATGGTTCTTGACGATTTCAACGGAGCTAAAGGGCTTAATTGCAAGTTTGGTCACTCGAATTGCTACAAAATTTTATGTTTGGTCACTCGAATTGATTTATTCCATTCGTAGTCACTTAAATTAGTTGAACAGTCCAACTTTGGTCACTCTCCGTTAACCTCCGTCAAACTCCGTTAGTACCGTCAGTTAACTGCTGACGTGACGTGACTAACAGAGGTGCTTAGTCATCCTATTTTACAAAAAAAAAAAAAAACATGCCACATCATTAACCCCTCAATATTTTAAAAGTCCACCAAAACCCAATCAACCCCTGACCTGAACCGAACCCCTGAACCAACCCATTCACCTGTTCCCCCTCTCCTTCCCCCCTCTTCTTCCCCAGCTCCGACCCGAATCGCCATTACTGCCACCAAATCATAATCCCAGATCTACGGCGATATCCCGAGATAGAGAGAGCCGACAAGATTGAGTGGGAATGGAGGGAGACGCGATTCCCAGATCATTCGAAGGTGATGGCTTTGGACACAGACCTTGACAGCGACAGACAAGGTGTGAAAGAAGGCTAGGGATCCCCGACCGCAATCGAGAAGACGAAGGCGTCGTTAGGCTTCTTCTCCTCCGCTGTTAACCCCTCTTTCTTCTCCGAATCGAAACCCACAGATTCCCGTGGACATCTTTTCCACCTCTTCTTCGCCACCATCAACCCGCACAAGAGAGAAAGAGAGTACGAAGGGATGACGCCGAGAGGGAGATAGCTCCTGTAGATCTGAATCGCCCGCGACTCTGGAAACGTCCAAACCTAGGAAGCCTTCCATCTCTCCGAATAGAGAAACTGACCGGCGAAGCTGTCGTGGTCCTCCTGGTCTACCGTTACCAAGGCGCCGTCGTCATTGATTCACCAGCACCACCGACACTGCTCTTTGATCTCTAATCTCAGCAGGGAACATAGAGATATGCTATTGGGGAGGTAGAAGACGAAGGTAAAGAAGAATAAGGCGGGTTGGGAGGGGAGGAAGCGGTGAACATGGACTGTTCTGGCATCCAAAATTCTTTGAATGGAGTGTTTGTTAATGGTGTGAGGGTTGAGACAGGTGTGGTTAGAGAGCTTTGTGCTGGTGATGAGGTGTTGTTTGTTTGTGGAAATGAAGGTATTTGTAGCTTAGGTATTCGAATTGGGTTTGTGATTCAGGGCGTTGTATTGACAGAGGAAGTTATCTGGGGACTGGATAGGGCTCAGTTTGAGAGGAGGAGGAAGAGGTTAGTTGAGAATACCGCCTCGATGAGGCATTCCCAAAGATCAATTTCAGCTGGAAAGAGAAGCAAAAGAGTCTTTGCTTTCTCAGAAGGTGAGATAATGTCACCATGTAATGAGTCTTGGAGACCGGGATATGGTGGCATTGCAAGAAGAGCAAAGTCTCTACTTAGTCAATGTCTGCATATATTGCACAGTGATGATCCCATGAGCTATATCAGAAAGAAGAAGAAGGCGGAGGTGAACAAGGGTCGGGTTTGGTTTTTTTCATCAGATGGGTTAAAAAGTTGGTCGGGTTAAAGTTTCTCTCTTGGGAGATTGAATGGGGTCAGAGCTGGGGAAGAAGGGGGGAAGGAGAGGGGGAACAGGTGAATGGGTTGGTTCAGGGGTTCGGTTCGGGTCAGGGGTTGATTGGGTTTGGGTGGACTTTTGAAATATTGAGGGGTTAATGATGTGGCATGTTTTTTTTTTTGTTGTTATTAAAATAGGATGACTAAGCACCTCTGTTAGCCACGTCAGCTGTTAACTGACGGTACTAACGGAGTTTGACGGAGGTTAACGGAAAGTGACCAAAGTTGGATTGTTCAACTAATTTAAGTGACTACGAATGTAATAAATCAATTCGAGTGACCAAACATGAAATTTTGTAGCAATTCGAGTGACCAAACTTGCAATTAAGCCGAGCTAAAGTGAAATGAGCTACGTACGAAGAGAGAAGGTTCCGAAATCAACACTAGCACAAAAATGCTATAAAACGGAACCCTGCCTAATTGAAGTCCCATCATTCACAGAACAACACATCTACACTACCAATCTTCTCCTTGGCAAATTTTCTTTCGCTAGCTAGGTCATTGTTGCAGACATGACCACATTTTCGAGCAAGAACAAGGAGATGCTGGCGTCGATGATCGCCGTCGTAGCCGTTTTGGTAGTTTTGGCTCCCACGATGGTTTCAGCTAAACAATACGTGGTTGGTGATGACAAGGGCTGGACCAAGGATTTTGATTACACCACTTGGACCGCCGGCAAGCAATTCTTCGTCGGTGACTCTCTTGGTAAGCATGCAGAAATATATAGTACTATTTCATTTCCCTGCCGCGCTTGTTACAAATAAAACGAAATACGATAATTTTATTTGCGTGAATAAAATTAATTAGTTGCAAGTCGTAACTATGTAAAAGAAAGAATGCTACAGCTACATGTCACATGAATGTTGATTATTCGATCGACGTGAATATAAATATCGTACGTAGTGCTTAAATTTATTTTCCGGAGCAAGATAGTAATTCCAACAAATGATTTTTGGGATTGGTTCTTGCAGTTTTCAACTATGCACAAGGGAGCCACAACGTGTTCAAAGTGAACGGCACAGATTTCATGCAGTGCTCCAAGCCACTCGTTGGCGCTCCACTTTCCACTGGCAGCGACGAGATTCCGCTCAAAACCACGGGGAGGAAATGGTACATCTGTGGAGTCGCCGGCCACTGCGCCTCCGGTCAGAAGCTGGTCATCACCGTCTCCGACGGATCCGCCGCTCCGGCACCGTCGCCGGTCTCGCCATCAACCGGCGCCGCCTCGAGGAGCATCATCAGTGCTGGGTTTGCTGCTGCCATGGTCGTCCTAGGCTTTTTCGGGGTGGTCATGTTCTGATCGAATTGAGCTGCGTGTTTGGGAGTGAGACTAATATATAACAATTGAATTAAATGAATTGTGCTGTTGTAAAATCTGAACTTAAATTAGAATTAAAGGCTGTCTACTAGTTCATTGTTTGGATTTTCGTATTTGAGCTTTATTGTTCATGTCATCTTTGACTCACATTCTTTTTATCTACATTACTGTAACAAATACGTTTATATATGTCATCTTGGATTACCAAAAGGAAATAAATATATATATATGTTCTTTATGAGCTTTGGATTCTATAATTAAAATATAACCAACACCATCATTATGCTATTAACTAAATGCATGACATGAAACAAAAATAAAGATAAAAATTATTTAGATTAAAGAAAAAAGAGAAAATAAGCAATTAATGAAAAAGAGATTAATTAATGGGTAAAGCAGTTGTGGGGCGGCTAAGGCCAAGTCCAATGCAAAACCCCAAATGTGGGGTCCTTCATCCCCAAATTTGAGAATTGATCCCCATTTTCCTTTCTTTTGCTCCAATGCTTCAATCTTCATATTTGGGATCTTAATTTTTCCAGTTTTTCCATTTACTTAAAATTGTACTTATCGAAGCCTTAATATAATTTGTGGAGGTAGCTTTCAATTATTTAGCTTGGTTCGGTGGAGGAATCGCTTTGGAGTTGACTTTGGGTAGTTGTGTTTTGGTCTCGCTTATTAGGTGAAAAGTTTGGTTGGAGTTTGTTTGATAGTAAGAATGGCTGCTATCAGTATGAAGATTGAGAAGTTTACCGGAAGAAACAGTTTCAGTTTGTGGCAGATCAAGATGCAAGCACTGTTGAAACAACAGGGTTTGTGGGCTCCGTTGTCTGGAAAATCGAAGAAGGAAAGTATAGATGAAGAAGAGTGGAGTACTTTGGAGGAGAAAGCTCACTCTACAATCTTGCTTTGTTTGGCTGATGACATCATTACTAAGGTTGCTACTGAGAAGACTGTCGCGGGTTTGTGGTTGAAGTTTGAAAGTCTATATATGACAAAGTCTTTAACCAACAAGTTGCATATGAAGCAACGTTTGTTCAGTTTGCTCATGGAGGAAGGTACATCTCTCAGGAATCATCTATATCAACTCAATACTATCTTGTTAGATCTGCGGAATATTGATGTTAAAGTAGATGATGAGGATGCTGCCTTAATTCTGTTAGTATCTTTGCCACAGTCATATGAGAATTTTGTGGATTCTTTTATTCTGGGAAAGATAGTTTGTCTTTGAAAGATGTCATATCTGCTCTACATACTAGAGAAGTCCGACATAAGGCGTCTGGTTCAAGTTCGGAAAATCAGGCATGTGGGTTGGCTGCTACGAGTAGTAGGAGACAACAATATGGTAATAGGAAGGCGAATATAAATTCGAATTCTGCTGGTTTGAAGGATGATATCTGTCCTTACTGCAAGGAGAAAGGACATTTGAAATTTGATTGTCCTAAACTGAAGAAATATAAGGAGAAGGAATCATCTACTGTTGTGGCGGAAGAAACTAACTCCGATTCTGAAGATGGTTTAGCCTTAGCAGTGAATTAACAGGTACATCATCAGGATGTGTGGTATTTAGATATTGCAGCTGATTATCATATGTGTCCAAACAGGGAGTGTTTTTCAACTTATGAGCAGATAGATGGAGGACATGTTTCTATGGCCAATGGTGCTATCTGTAAGATTATTGGAAGAGGCTCCGTCAGGATGAGGACACATGATGGTTCTGTTCACACCTTGACCAATGTTAGGCATATTCCGGAGATGACTAAGAATCTGATATCTTTGAGTCTACTCGACAGCAAGGGTTTCAGCTTCAAAGGTGAAGGTGGAGTGTTGTCTGTCTACAAGGGTTCTAAGGTGATTTTGAAAGGTGTCAAGCGTGGTGTCTTGTATAATCTACAAGGTTCTGTTTTAACATGTTCTGTGGGTGATAAGTGCAACAAGTTGGTTCTGAATGGCAAGTCTCAATATGGATTGGATTTGCCGAAGGTTTGAGTTGTTGACCGCCCTTAGGGGCATTTGGAGGCGGGGGAGATTCTGGTACAACTTATTTGGAGGAGTCTAGTACACCTGGCAACTTTGGTTGCATCTGGTACATTTGGCAACTTTGGTTGCGTCTGGTACATATGGTATTTGAGAGAGAATTCAAGTCAAGTTGGAGAATGTTAGAATATGACTTGAATTTGATTTGGATTTGTTTTGTGTTTTGGGCCTATTTTGTTTGGGTTTGTGTTTAGGCTTTGTTTGACCTTTTCCTTGTATGTTTTGGAAAAGGTGTTTGGTTTTTTGCTTGGGATTAGGAGAAGAGTTCCATAAATACTCTTCATCACCCTAGTCTGTAGTAAGGTCAGTCAGGTTAGTTTGTTTGGTTTGTCCGTTCGGAATTTGGTTTGTAACCCGTACTCTCCTCAAATCAGTGAAATTTGTTCCCCCCCCCCCCTGCCCGTGGACTAGCTAGCACACATTGTGTTAGTGAACCACGTTAAATTTGTGTTCGTTCGCGTTGATCTGGATTATCGTTTGCACGCTTCTGTTCTGTCAGCAGAAAATAAACTAGATTATGTACATCTTTGTAATTACAACAAATGATAAATTTCTAGTTTGCATCAAGGGAATTAATTAATTAAAACATATGTTGAAAGAAGCTTGAGAACTTTCTACAATAATATTTGACAAAATCAATAAGGCGAGACTCCAAAAATTGGAGAATGATTTTGATATCACTATCTCATCAAACATTGACTATTTGCTTCATATTTCAACGAGGTAAAAAAATGTTTGCATCTGCTCTCATCACTCATCAGTATGCCGTAGTAAATTTCTTAAACTCGAGGGTAACCAACTCAAGTAACTCACTGATTCACAATAATAAAGATTTTCTAAAGAGTATTACTGCGCGCAGTTGAACACCCACTTCACCGCCAGACAAATGTCATTGTGTTCTCAGGTAATTTGACACTCACGATGCAGATTGTTTTGTATGGATGCCTAATGACGTATACATAAAAGCCAAGAAACGTCGTCGCGTTGGCTATTTGGAGGACGCAGTCGTTGGGTTTCTGGGCTGAAGGGTATCATTTCCTTGGCCTTGGTTACATACATTATCAAAGAAATGTATAATAGGTTAAAATTCCTAACAGTTGCCGCCCTATGCGCCGGTTGTCTGTTCCGGCAGAATCTGCACACCACAACAAACCAGCTAGCTAGATTGTTGATTATTTCCACAAAGTGTGATAGATTAGCTAGTTCCGAAGCGAAATTAAATAAGAGATTATGAAATCAACAGTAGTACCAAACTGCTATAAAACGAGACATTTTCTAAATCAAAGTCCATCATTCCCACACAGCAACACATCTATCAATCTTCTCACTCTCTTTGCTTATTTTCTTCCGCTAGCTAGCTCATAGTTGCCATGGCCTTGTTTGCGAGCAAGAACAAGAAGATGCTGGTCTCGATGATCGCCGCTGTTGCCGCTTTGGCTGTTTTTGCTCCCATGACGGCTTCGGCGAAACAGTACGTGGTGGGCGATGAAAATGGTTGGACCAAGGATTTTGATTACACCACTTGGACCGCCGGCAAGCAATTCTTCGTCGGCGACTCCCTTGGTAAGTAATCTTTTAATTTTCCATGTAATAATAACTCGTTAAGGGGATAAATTACGTGGACGTAGCAAAAAAAAGTTTGGTTGAAATGTTTTAGAAATCCTACCATACTAATCGGTCTGATACCGATAGTAATTTGTTTTCATGAAAATACTGAATATCGAAAGTCAAGCGATAATATAAAACAGTACAGTTCAATTATAATTGTAGTATAAAATATTATACCACTAATATTTCTAGTATAACTTATATTAAGATTTGATCACAATTATTAGTTTGGGTGTACAGACGACATAAATATTTATTGTCTGTGGATGCAGTGTTCAACTACCCAGCGGGAAAGCACAACGTGTTCAAGGTGAACGGCACAGACTTCATGCAGTGCTCGAAGCCACTTGTTGGCGCTCCACTTACCACCGGGAGCGACGAGATCCCACTCAAAACCACCGGGAGGAAATGGTACATCTGCGGCGTCTCCGGCCACTGCTCCTCCGGTCAGAAGCTCGTCATCACCGTCTTGGACGGATCTGCCGCTCCGGCGCCGACGCCGACCTCGCCATCAACCGGCGCCGCCTCTGGGAGCATCATCAGTGCTGGGTTTGCTGCTACCATGGTGGTCGTCGGCGTTCTTGGGATGTTCATGTGATCTGAAATTGAGTTGTGTGTTTGGGAGTGAGACTAATAGCGATAGAGTTATTGAATTTTGATTTTGTAAAATTTGACCTTAGAAGGTCTGCTAAATGTCTAATTCAATGTTTTTTTTTATTTTTTTGCATTTTGAAGCTTTGATTTTTCATATTTTATTTAAAATAAATTTATTTCGGGTGAAAGTGCATTTGCTAATTGCTGCTATACTGTATATGCCCTTCTTTAGTATTCCTTTGTGATTATGTTGATTATCAATTTCAAACTTTGAATTTTCAAATACTGTATAACCTTTTCAAATTAATAATCAATAAATTAATAATTTTTTCAGTACCGACTTGAACTAGTGTAAAAAAATGAGCATTTTTATTAAAATAATAAGATAATAATTTTTGGCAACCAACCTACATGGATTTTCAACTCTATAAATTAATAATGGTAAAAATACAATTCATCTAGAAATTTATAATATAAATAGGATACCATAGAAAAATATGAATATTTAGTTTTTTTGTTTATTCTTGAAGTTCAAGTCTAATAGAAGTTCATCTTGAACTTTACTCATTGCACTCAAAGTCTCCGGTGATGTCTTCTCTGATTGCATCAAGTACTTTTGAAGAGTCGATGCGGCTTTAAGTGCTTTCTTTCGCATGACCGGTTCCAAAGGTGTTGAATTGTCATATCCTTCATTCTCAATTGAACCCCAATGACATCAGCCACAAATCTATAATATTCTGATTATAGAAACGCTTAATGATGAACCTTCTATTAGTATAAGAGTTAAATTGGTACCAACATTAAATAATGAGCATGGAGCCTTTGATTCTTTAATAGTTATCTCGGTTCGTTATAAATTTCTCTTTTTTGAATTTAACTTTATCACTATGAAATTTGATCACATCATTGGCTTCTGGATAATTACATTTTTCGGTTTATATATATAATATTGTGAATATAAAGACGCCTAATCCATTAAAATAAAGGTATACTTGCACCATGAGCAGTCTATTCTATGTATATTAGAAGACCTTTCCATGCTAAGCCAAAAGTGAAAAGAAGTCGTCAATAGGGAATTCATCAAAAAATTTCCATGCTAAGCCAAAAGTGAAAAGAAGTCTTCAATAGGGAATTCGCAAGTAAAATCAAAATTTTGTAGTTTATTAAAATAACATACACAAAATGGAGATGCAAGGGATCGGACCCTGTACCTCCCGCATGCAAAGCGGGCGCTCTACCATTTGAGCTACATCCCCAACATATTAAAAAATGGAAGGATGTATACCTTTATCTTATCAGGACTTCTCAAGATGTTTATAAAAAGGGGCATTCCGAGAATCGAACTCGGGACCTCTCGCACCCAAAGCGAGAATCATACCACTAGACCAAATGCCCTTAATGAAATTTAAAACCATTCATTTTATATTTAACTCACTCCCAAAAACATTAACATTTTGGAATCTATTTATTTTCATTTTTTGTCAATTTCACAATACACTTGAACTATTATGTTAATCAAAGTGAATGGCATTCCTTTCAGAAGGATCAAACCCCAAACTGCTTGATTCAAGGACATCATGATCAGCTATCAAGTTGTACATGATACAATCATATGTATTTATGATGCTTCTTAAAGGTATTTTGAAGTGTATCTATTTTTATTTCTCGTCAATGTCACTATCAAGTTTAACTATTAGATAATGAAAGTGAGTGATATTCCTTTGAGAAGGGTGTACATGGGCTTGCGGTGCACCCTGCCGCATCCTAATGGTAGGGTGTAAACTTGACCCTAAAAATCTATTGACCCGCTCCTCGGTCAGTTTAGGGTCGGGTCATTTTTTGACTCGGGTAGGGTCGAGCCAGTTTTTTGCCCTGTGACCCTTATACATGAAATTCCACATACCAACACATTGGACTTATTTGTACAATTTTAAAAGTTTAGGCACTAAATTGTAAAAATAAATAAATCTGAGTACCAAAATATAGTTTACCATCAAAAGTGAAGGACTTATTTGTAAAAAAATAAAGTTTAGGTACTAAATTGTAAGAAAAATAATTTTGGATACCAAAATATAATTTATAAAAAATTAGTTTGTTGATAAGGGTCGACCCGCCGACCCGTCCTGACCCTAGAGGGTAAGACAGGGTCAAGAAGGAAACATGAGCGGGTCGGATCAGTCGTACATCTTAACCATTTAGGGACTGGTCAGGATAATTTCCAGTTCTACCTAGTGGACCCCTTATATGATATTCACGCTATTTATTATCTAATTCAACAACTTGCCACCAAACTTTTTCACATCCAATGATGTAAATTTACAACTAAATTAAATGACAATTTTGAATTCTCTTTGGCGAGATATTACATAATTTTCGCGAGTATTACGCCCATATATATTGTGAAGTACAAAGAATAGATGATCAACTAGGAAGTCCACTTATTCAAAACAAAAATCCCTCAGAAGCCCCATTTGGCATGCCATTATAAACCAACACAAAACGGGACTCAGAAAGAGTGAAATCAACATAAAACAAAACAAAACCTGTTAAAAATGTAAATGAAATATTAATAACACAACCCAGAATATTTTAGGCTGAGTTCTTCCTATTCATTGTAAATGACTTTACATTCATTTATTTATATTTATTTTTGGCGGAATTACGTACTACTAATCATAACGACCGATGAATCGAACTTATATGTCATGTAATTTAAAAAAAAAAAAGAGGATTATCGATTAACTAACTACCACATTATCTTGATATACGTACAGTCGGAAATATAATTGACATCGTCAAATGAAATACCATATTAAGAAAGAAATGATGAAGCAAAAGTACCCACAATAGAGCACCACATGTAAATTGCCGGCAATCGCCGGACGGAAGCTGCAAGAAGAAGAAGAAGAAGAAGAAGAAGAACAACAACAACAGAAAAGGAAACAACACAAAAACTGGTCGATAACTACAACCAGAGCTGCGGGCAGAAGAGAATATAAGTCGGCAAATCACACTGCTAGTGCTATATATAAAGAGGCAAGCCCATATATAACAACAAGTCAACAAGAGCAAGTGCATCCCATTAGTCTATATACATAACACAATACATTGCTGATCGTCAGAAGCAGCCAGCCAGCCATGGCCAGTAGCACTTTTGCGAGCTTTAGCAGTAAAAGGATGGTGGCGTTGATAATTGCAGCGGCTGTTGCTGCGGCAGTTTATGTTCCCGCAAAGGCTTCGGCGAAACAGTACGTAGTGGGGGACGAAAGAGGCTGGACCAACAACTTTGATTACGCTACTTGGGCAGAGGGCAAGACGTTCTTTGTTGGTGACTCACTAGGTACAAAATACTTTTTTCCCGTATTACTTTAATTCTTGCAGCTTTTGGAGATTCACGGGCACATTGTTCTTTTATCAGACGTGCACAATTTGTACAATTCTACTACTTGACTTGATATAATATTTGACATTTCCTCATGTGACTAGCGAACCGTGTTTTGTTTTTTTTGGGTGTTGCAGTTTTCAACTATCCAACGGGAAAGCACAACGTGTTCAAGGTAAATGGCACAGATTTCCAGGACTGCACCAAGCCTCTGGCCGCTACTCCGCCACTGACCTCGGGGAGCGACGAGATCCCGCTTAAAACCACGGGGAGGAAATGGTACATCTGTGGAGTTGCCGGCCACTGCGCCTCCGGTCAGAAGCTGGTCATCACCGTCTCCGAGGGATCTGCCCCGCCGGCGGGATATTCCTCCTCCGGGGTCACGATGGTCAACATTGGATTTGCTGCACTTGTTCTTGTTGGCACTCTTGGGATGCTCTTCTTCTGAATTTGATTTTGTTCCCCCCAGAAGAGAATATTTGATGTTTGGTATGTTTTCCAAGGGTTGTTTATGTTTTTTGAGAGGATACTATCCTAAGTCATTATTATTTTTGAAGTTTAGCTTTAATCAATAAAAGTGGATGTTAATTATCATGTTTACCTGTTGTGTTTCTCTAGAATAACGATTTTACATAGAATTAAAGCTAATATATACGTTCTTACTTCTTACTCATAAAACTGGATGTAGTTTTGGTAGAAAAATCAGAAAATTGGTTGATTATAGTTTGACATCATGAAGGAAGTTGGACATTCTCTGTGACTGTGACCCACTCACTCCTGACTTCACCAAACTACATGAAATGAAACAGGCCACCACACCAAACCACCTGCTCCAGCTTTGGGCTTAAGCCAGTTGCTAGCTTTGGTTAATTCTGATTAAAGAATCAACAGAAATAACTACCACCACTATCACTTGGCAAATATTTTAATTACAATCGTGCAGAGGGCAGAAGGGAATCTATTAGAGTGCTGACTGCTGACACCCCACACGTGGGAACTCAGAACCATTTCACATGCCTTCTGAGTCGTTGGATCTTAGTTTCAAATGGTTATCATGTTAATTACCAAATCGTCCAAATTAATACACACTAAAAGTAATTAAATTAAAATTTAATCAATTTGGTTAACGAGTTAACCAAAATAACATCACATAATCAGTAAGTGAATTTATTTCTCCGGTTAATGCATCAATTCACTTTTTGTTGTTGCCATAGATAGGGGAAGATATAGATATTACAGGACGCTTGACAACCAAATGCGACAGTCGACAAGTAGCCGAACTGTCGATGAAAGGGCATTAGAAGCCACTAAATGGGCAGCCCTGTTGTACAACCTCGGAGTAAAATTACAATCAAATAAACTAAACAACGCGGACGCCGAGCAAATCTCCTCCAAGATCGCACCGCCTGTTCCATGAGTCACATCCCTCGTACGTATCCTGCGGATCAAAGGCTGGCAATCGCCACAGAAATTGACCGATACAAACCCATGCAAGACACACCAGTTTATCGCATCGCAGAGAGCTAATAATTTCGAAATAAAAGGTTCAGACACACCTGGGTAGTACTGCTCGAATGCGAATAGCAGTTGGCCGTTGTGGGAGAAGCCGACGAAGCCTGTTCCGCCCCCCACATCCTCTTCCAAGCTCCATCAAAGCGAACAAGGACACCACCAGGTGGGCAAATCCCGGCTGGTGGCGGACTACGCGCTCCCTGGCCAGAGCCCATCCGTGTACGAGGCGCCCCACCGCCATCCCTATGGAGCGTCAACGGCGATGACGCGTGCTGCCACTCCTCAACCTGAACTCGGAACTGGCGAAATAAGGGTTGCCCCAAGTATTGGATGTGCTTATGGATTGCCCAGCAGCGGGATTTCCACACTCGCCAACAAAGGAAAACAACATCAGCAATCTCAGTCTTGGACAGATGGCATGAAAAAAATAAAGCCTTCCAACAATCAGAAGGGGACAAACCCTCTAGTCTCCTTCGAAGGCTACCCAACCCAGCCAGCTCCCACAGCTCTGTGGCCACCCGACAGTGGAGGAAAGAATGAGAAAGAGTTTTTCAGCACCTTCAGAACATACCAGGCAAGTATTATCCGTTACCAGCCGCTTGATTTGAAGCACCGCCCGAACAGGAAGAAAGCCTCGGACCACTCGCCACCAAAAAATTTTAAGTTTAGGTGGGAGGAGTAAGCTCCACAGTAACTTCCAGAACCTGCAATCATATGGCAACAAAGAGGGAGGATGTAAAGCCAGCAATTCATCAGTAAGAACATGGTACCCGGTTTTTACAGTGTATTCTCCAGTTGGAGAGTGATACCAAATTAGCTTATCTGGAGAGGCCTGCAGAGGTAGAGGGATGGACAAAATTAAAGACACCGATGATGGCATGAAGAGGCTGGTAAGAAGTTCCACGTTCCAGGATCGGGAAAAGGGGCAAATGAGATCAGAAACAAAGACAGGACAGTGGGAAATATGCGGCTGCAATTAGAGGTGGCAATGGATTGGATCCATGGATTGGTGGATCCATGGATCAAATGGATTGGATCCAATGGATTGGTGGATTCATGGATTGGATCAAGTGGATTGGTGGATTATCCATGAATCCAAATGACATCCTCAACCAAGGACCAATATGTAAAATGTGAAAAGTTTAGGTATTAAAATGTCATAATGAAAAAATTTAGTACCAAAACGTAATTTTCCAATAATATTTTTCGTATAAAAATTAAATTTCAGGTACAAAATTTAAAATATAAAAAATATAGGTACCAAACTGTAATTTGCCATTTGGATCCATGGATTGATCCATTAATCCACCAATCCAATTGGATTTGGGTCAAATGGATTGGATTTAAATGGATTGGATTATGTGGATATTTTTAATGGATTGGTGGATTGGATTGAGAATTGCCACCTCTAGCTGCAATAGAGGGATGGAGGGAGGGTTTGACGGAAGCCACTTATCTGCAAGTACTTGGACGGTAGCCCCATCCCCGATCCGCCAGCGGAGACCACGAAATAGAAGATCCCTCCCGGCTAAGATGCCCTGCCAAGCCCAGGACGGCCTTGGACCAGGGGCCGCCTCCAAGAATGAGGTATGTGGGTGATATCTCGCTCGGTATAATGACGCCAACGTGGAATCCGGATTCATTAGTACCCGCCAAGCTTGTTTAGCCAAGAGAGCGATGTTGAAGCGTTCAATGTCCCGAAATCCTAACCCCCCTGCAAACTTGCTTAGACACACCTCCTGCCATGAAAGCAGTGCATACCGTCTTCTTTATCTTGATCAGCCCACCAAAACCGAGAGAGTTGGCCATTTAACCTGCGACAGGTGAAAGAAGGCAATTGAAAAGCAGACATAGTATAGATAGAGGAAGCTTACCCAATAGATTTAATCACCGTTTCCTTCGCAGCCAAGGACATAGCTTTAGTTTTCCACGACCGGATCCTAGCAGCTAGTCCCTCCTCAACAAACCTAAATGTTTTTGTCTTAGACCGTTGGATATGAACCGACAGCCCTAAGTACTTGTCGAGAATACTAGAATCAGCCACCCCAAGAAAAGATCTCAATGCCATGCGTTCCTGGTCAGAGACATTAGAACTAACAGACATAGACGACTTAGCAAGATTAACTTTTTGTCCACTAACCCTCTCTAACCCGTCCAACAGAGAAAGCAGATTAGCACATTCCGGCAAGGAGGCTCTCAAGAACAGGTAAGTATCATCGGCAAAAAATAAATGGGAAGTCAAAGGCGCATGCCGATGAACCCGCAAACCATGCAAATTCGCAGCCATGATCTCACTAGATATTTTAGACGAAAAAGCTTCAGAATATATAACCTAGAGACAGGGGAGATAGGGGATCACCTTGACGCAAACCCCGTTGGGGTCTTGAAATACCCGTGGGAATGTCCATTAATTAGAACCGAAAAGGATACAGTGGAGATACAAGCATTAATCCAGCGCCGCCATTCGTAACAGAACCCCATCTGTTCCATAATCAGCAACAGGAATGACCATTCAACCCGGTCATAAGCTTTTTCCATATCTAGTTTAAGTGCCATCCACTTATCCCGACCATGCACTTTAGTTTTCAGAAATTGCATAACTTCTTGGCCAAGTAGAATATTGTCAGTAATAGATCTATCACGCACAAAACCATTTTGTGTGGAACTCACAACATCAGGTAAGATCACACTGAGCCTAGCAGCCATAAGTTTAGCAATGATTTTGTAAAATACATGACACAAACCTATGGGACGGATTTGGCGCATTGGGTCGGCATTCAGCACCTTTGGCAGTAAGGATATCAGAGTATGATTAAAGCTGTGAAGAAGCCGGTCGGAGCTAAAGAAGTTGAGGACTGTAGTCGTGATCAACGGACCCACCACCTCCCAATGAGCTTGGAAAAAGGCTGCTGTGAATCCATCGGAACCAGGGGCCTGATGGCTGCCAATCCGGAACACCGCCTCCTTGACTTCCAGAGCCGAGACAGGAGCTATCAAAGCGTCATTCATCTCTCTCGTGACTCTGCTGGAAATACCCAAAGAGTCCACATACGATGAGGCATGCACATTGTTAGAGGTGAAAATAGATTGATAAAATGGAATAGCTATACCTGCCATGGCCTCTTCTTCATGATGTAAGGTTCCAGCATCATCTCTTAGCCCTCTCAAGCGATTAAAACGCCGTCGTCGAAGTACCATGCGGTGGAAGAGGTTGGTGTTAGCATCCCCTTCCCAGAGCCAACCAACTCGCGACTTTTGACGCCAAAAGCATTCCTCTTTAATGTATGCAGTCGAGAGATCCCGTTCCAGCTGGCGAATAGCATCCCAATCCACCAGAGCTGCCTCGCGAAGGTCCTCAATTGCAGTCCTGAGCTCCCTAATACAACGAGCTGAATTTGAAGTACCCACTCTTGCCCAGTCAACCAAGTTATGGCGAACAATTTTGAGTTGATTAAAGGCTCGGAATTGGATAGAACCACACGTAGGTTTGGACCAAGCCATTTGAATTATATCCATTGCCTCTGCATTGGAATTCCATCTCCCATCAAATTGGAACCTGGTATGCGGATGATGCCCTTGTTTGATGAGCTGCACAAAAATCATCTGATGATCAGAGCCCAAGTCAGTAAGGTGTATTACCTTAAGTCCGTCCATTCTGCCATCGCTGATGCACTGCCAAGACATCTATCCGACCGCTCTAAGATGTGCTCCCCACCTGCACGCCGATTAGACCATGTGAATGGTGAACCCTGAAAACCTAAGTAAAAAAGGCCAGTAGACAGTAAGAACTCATTAAGTTTATCCAAGGCAGCAATAGAGGGTACATCCCCCCCCCCCCCCACATCTTTTCATTTGAAGAGAGGAGACAATTAAAATCACCCACCACAAAGGCATGTAAAGAAACGGACGAGAGCAAAGAAGCTATTTCATTAAGCTGATACTGGCAATCAGCAGCATCACACGAAAGATGTACAAAGACAATGACAAGGCTCCCTACAACTGGAACTAAACACTCCATAAAACAATGAAAGGAAGAAAGTTGATGCACTGTACAAGTAACATGATCTCCTGAAGCTACAGCTAAACCACCACCACCGTTAGACGCACTAAAACATCTTGCTGATTTGTACCCCAAACTAGCAAATTTGGACTTGACAAAGTCATCTTCCCGTTTAGTTTCGCTGAGAAAGACAAGGTTGGGCAAGAATCGTGCAACGGCTCCACCAAGAGAGGGAATTGTCAAGGGGGAGCCCATCCCCCGACAATTCCACACCATAAAACTCATGGGTCGGGTTGGGCCCAGTTGAGGCTGGATGCCACCGCCTTACCATGGAGGGAGGAGAAAGTAGCCGACGCCGAAGAATCAGAGCGTGCTCGTTTGGCTGAAGGAGTTGGGGACAACACCATCACTCATGGTAGTGTCCTCCGCCAATGGGGTTGCTGCCGCATCTCAAGGGCCCGAACTTGAGGGGACAATTGAGAGAGCCTGAAAATTGGCCACCATGAGTCTCGGGGAGGGACGACGAGTGTCCCGCCACTCACCACCAGCACCTCCCTCCTGGATTGGCAGTAACTATGGAACAACCTGGCGTAGAGGAGGCTCCTTGAAACTGCCGCCATTACTCGAGGGTGATGGGCGAGCCTTGGCCGCACGGATCCAAGTGAACCGCCGGCGCCGCTTTGAGAGGGTATCTTTCGTCACAGGCGGCCCCGATTCAGTTGCCACCGAGAACACACCATACTTTAGAGAAGCACCAGCCAAAGCCTCCTTACGAGGGCAACCCTCTCCAATATGCCCAATTACACCACAAAGGAAGCAAAAGTGAGGAACCTTTTCAAATTTAACTGATGCCACATAGTTACCTCGAGACAGATCAATGTGCCAAGCAGTAATCACATCCGGCAATGGGGCAGTGAGGTCGAGAATTGGCGCCGCCCTAACGTAAAGCCCACCCGAGACATCAGAGCGGTGGAGCGTGGGAGGGTCGTTGAGCACCCCAAGGGAAGAACCTAACCGCCAGAAAATTTTTCAGTGAAGCAATCAAACGGTACCTTCCAAATCTGTACCGCCATTAGAGCCCAGCGGAGGCGATCAGCCACATCATGAGAAGGATTTTCCCATCGTGCCAGACCCAACATAAAATTTTCGAAGATCTATGGGGATTTGGTAACCGCTTTGTGCAAATCATCCTTCTACGAAAAAAGGAATTGGGTCAAACCCTCCTCCACGCCGGAAATGGTTAGGTCACCCTTGTAGAGCCACACCCGGCCCAGCATCATCTTCACCGCATACAACGACGGCGGGGAACCAATCAACCGTCCGATTAGGGAAAGCTCCCCCCGAGCCAGCCCGGCTGCCAAATCCTCATCATTGAACTGTACCACCGCCATGGTCGACGATTGCCGGACAAAAGAGAAACAAAGCGAGTAAAGGTCAATTGATGCAATATACACACTCCCACCCCCCAGCGGGAGGGGATTTATAGCCATACCTCTCCAGAGAGACAGGCCCCATCGCCGCACGACGGCGGAAATCCCGAAGGGCACTAGCGCACGAAGGCGGTTGCCGACCCACTCCTCCGAAAAGAGAGAGCACGAACGCGAAGTTTTTTTTTTCCTACCATCGCCTAATTGCTTTAAAATATTTGACATCAATTCACAATTTATATGATGAATAAAACCAGTGGCAGAGCCAGAAAATTTGCCAAGGGGGTGCTTGTTCATGTAATGAAAAAATCAACTATACAATAAAAAAGTCAACTTTAAACGAAAATATGAAGTCAATAACATAAGACCCAAGATTTGTACAATTACATAATAATAGTTCTGCACACATCGCCTACAATGAACCTCGACGATTGTATGCACGGTTGGGGAAAAGTTGTAGATTGCTTGCTACCTCGTGATTCTGTCTCTTCCATTTCCGGAGAAGTAGTTTTTACTTTCCTCGAATAATATCTCTTCATCTAATTTACAAATGAAAATCAACTTCATTATATGAATAATTCAGTCCATGTTCTTAATTTGAAGATGAAATTGAGTATACCAAACGCAAAAACCTAACCCTAAATTAACACAAATAACAAAACTTCAAGTAATCGAAATTAAAACTTAGATTCTACCTTTTTGATAAGATTGATGATGTGAACCAAAGCAATTTTTGTGTTACCGGCTTGTTGCTTCCCTGCCCTACTCACAATTAAAAAGAGAAGGATTTTTGGAGGTGAATGATGGAGAACTAAAGTCTGGAGCCTGTAGATATTTCGGATTTGGAGGATAGAAGTCGGAAATATGGGTGGTGGGTGGAGGTGCGGTGAGCTGGGAGCGGGAGATGGAGAGCTTGGAGGGTGGACTCGCCGCCGTTGGAGGATGGAAGCTTGGAGGTCGGCGAGTGCACTTGCAGCGCCTCTGCTGCTGCTGGGTAGAGGAAAACGAAAATGAAATTGGGGGGGTTTCTGCCTTGCTGGAATCGACGACAGTGTGTTGATATTAGGACAGATAATTAACTTTGATATAAGTAAATGTGTGTTGAATAAATTAAAATCCTCTTCTAGCCGAGATGGTGAGATTGCTCAGTGTTAATCATGTGGTCAGAGGTTTGATCCCCATTTTTCACTATATATACTCAAGATTTTTTTGCCCACGGCCAAGGGGGCTGCATGCACCCCTCCCTCTAAGTAGCTCCGCCACTGAATAAAACAATTCAATCAACACATAGTTATAGTTAAACCCTTAACATAAAATACATGCAACTAATACAATTATGCACCCCCTCCTCTAAGTAGCTCCGCCACTGAATAAAACAATTCAATCAACACATAGTTATAGTTAACCCTTAACATAAAATACATGCAACTAATACAATTATTTTATAGTCAATAAAAGTATTCACCTAACAAAAATATATGTCAATTGTATGGGGTTAATGAATTATTGTGTTTGTGTAAATTGACTTATGAGTCTCTTAGCAAATATAATAGGTTGAAAAAGGCCTCCTTTTCAAGTTTACATCTACCATAGTGTATGAGTTTTATCTAAATTATGCATTCATATATCATGGTCTACACTCTACAAATATATGTATATATACACAGTATAGGAACAATATTGAACTTTATTTTTAATGAGTCTAAAATGGAGGAACGTTTGGTTCTTGAGTGGTTATGCAAATACGTGTATATAATACAAATTAGATACATGACTAATTACTTAACTGGTTGATTTGGTTTGATTGGTTAGTAGTGTCTGAAACCAAACCAAAATACTACCGATTAAAATGATTACCACAATAAACACTCCGTTTGAACACCCCTAGTTGGATCTCATGTGGCCGTTTCGTGATTGTTTGATAGACTTAGTGACATTTTATTTACAACAAATTATCATGATTTGCATCGAATGACCACGAAGCGAGTATGCACGATTCAATAGTATCGTACGCCTATAAAATAGTTCACCAAATAAATTGCGAGTATCGTAGCTGCTGGATTGTGCAAGACCTATATGATTTCAGATGTTGTCTCGCTACAGCAGGCATGGTAACAACTTAGCAAAATTCTGGTACCAGCTACTAGATGATGAAGAAAAACAAACTCACACACAGACAAAGCCCTCTCCTTCCTGTCACTCGTTATTGTCACCTACTTGTGTTTTGCTTTGTAATTTTGTTCTACTTTAATTAATAAAATATTTCACCGTTATAGGAGACGTTTTTGGCCCAACCGGCCAGTAACAGCCCGGCGAAGACAAAAGTAGTGTTTTGGTAAAAACAATTATGAACTTAGATTTGTTTAATCCATTCCATCCAAGAGCACTTCTACTATGCTATATAGCATTGGTGCTTTAATGTACAACTCAAAGTTGTACCATAACATTAAATGTATAAGTTTAGGTTGTACCATAAAGCAATTTGTACCATTATGTTATGGTACAATTTTACAACTTGAAGTTGTACCATCACATAAAGGTACAAGTTCAAGTTGTACCATAAAAGAATTTGTACAAAAAGTATAGGTACAATCTGAAGTTGTACCATAACGTGAATGTACAATTTTAAGTTGTACCATAAAGACAAAAATCTAAAACACTAATACTATATAGCATTGTAAAATTTCTCTCCATCCAAAACATCACCATCGAAATAGAGAGAGAGTTGAGTATACGCAACGAATGCTAAGTAAAAGTAGTCACTAGTTTGTTAACACCTATGATTATGATTAAACCCTCGGTCTTGTATCCACCTGATTAGACAATAACAAATGAGTTGAGGACCGACAAAGTGGAGCCTTTCCGGCAAATGGATAGAGACGCCACGGTGGGATGAGTTCTAAACCAATACCACAACTTTCATCGCTTTGCTTCCTTTCCACTCCACCTACGTGTTAATAATTCAATGCTACATTTCTGTGATGAATAATGTTTTATGTTGTTATTCAATTTGGTTGAAGTGCTGGCAGGGGTATGCATCTAGGCAAACTATCGAATATCAGACCACACGTCAATCAAACCAGTTTACTCGTAAAATTCCAACAATGACAATCATGTAAATGACGACAATAGATACATGAAATAACCGAAATCACAAATCGGTTGAATCATGTTGACGTCTATCTCTAGTCAACATGCTAACAAAACACATTGTAAATCTGATCGCAACAACTAATTAGCACACAAATAAAAACGAC